AGACGCACACACGCATACAGAGAGACGCACACAGAGACAGAGGCGCAGAGACACACAGAGACAGAGACGCAGAGACACACACACACACACAGAGACACACACACAGAGAAACAGAGACACGCACACAGAGATACACACAGAGAGCGAGAGACGCAGAGACACACACAGAGAGACGCTCCCACAGAGAGACACACACACACACACACACAGAGATACACACACGCACACAGAGATACACACATGCACACAGAGAGAGACGCAGAGACACACGCACAGATACACACGCACAGATACACACGCACAAATACACACGCACAAATACACACACACACACACACACACACACACAGAGAGACACACACGCACACTGTCGGCATGCTGGCAGCAGCAAGTTTGACACAAGTGCAAATGAAAAATGAGAGATTTTGAAAAGACAGACACGCACACACACACACACACACACACACACACACACACACACACACACACAGAGAGACACGCACACACTCACAAACAGACACACACACACTCACAAACAGACACACACAAACAGACGCGCACACAGAGACACACACAGAGAGAGACGCACACACACACACACACACACGTGACCTGGTTCAGAGCCTCCATGGTGAAGTAGATGCTGCTGCAGGCCGAGGACAGAGACAGATACTGCTGAGACACCGTCTCCACTTCCTGCATGACTATGTCCGTTTCTTCCACTTTCCTGGTCACCTCCGCCGCCTCCTTCTTCAGGTTCTCCAGGGTGGTGATGATGGTGTCGTCGTCCAGGATGCGACCCTTGACCTCGTTCAGGGCCTGCAGCAGTGATTTCTCCAGCTGACGCAGACGCAGCTGGAACTCACCTGCACGGATTCAACAGAACCACGTTTACACACCAGCACTATTAATGATCCGACAGCACTTCCTGTGACGCTCTCCGTTGCTCACCCTGCAGCTTCAGCAGGTCCGATCGCTTCTCGTCCACGTCCGGACGCTCGGCCTTCAGGACCTCATTGAGACACTGGCTCTGCAGGCTGCTGCGGGTCACCGTGAAGTTCACGAAGGTCACACGCGAGCAAAGGTCAGGAGGGAACTCCACCTGCAAAGACACGTCACAATTCAGCCGTTAATTTCAAATCTTTATTTCTTTCAACTTTAAAGGCAGATTTTTGCTCCTAAGTTAAAGTTGTTGAAACTAGACCGTTAATTGTGGTTTTAAACTACTCTTTATGATCAGAACATGACAAGTGAAGTCACCTTTATTTATATAGTGCTTTTAACAATACAGATTGTGTCAAAGCAGCTTTACAGTATTAAATGTGACCCTGGAGCACAAAACCAGTCATAAGGGTCAATTTTGTGAAATTGAGATGTATACATCATCTGAAAGCTGAATAAATAAGCTTTCCATTGATGTATGGTTTGTTAGGATAGGACAATATTTGAAAATCTGGAATCTGAGGGTGCAAAAAAATCTAAATATTGAGAAAATCATCTTTAAAGTTGTTCAAATGAAGCTCTTAGCAATGCATATTACTAATCAAAAATTAAGTTTTGATATATTTACGGTAGGAAATTTACAAAATATCTTCATGGAACATGATCTTTACTTAATATCCTAATGATTTTTGGCATAAAAGACAAATCTATAATTTTGACCCATACAATGTATTGTTGGCTATTGCTACAAATATACCCCAGCGACTTAACACTGCTTTTGTGCTGCAGGGACACATATAGGAAAATAGTGTGTAATAATGCAAAAGGACAATAGTAAAACACTCAATTTTCAATTAAATTACTTCAACAAACAACTTCACGTTCTTGAATTCTTTACACTTTTTCAGTTACTACTCGTTAACAAAACATCTTATTAGAAAAAAATATTTTTTTAGTTTCTGCATGTTCTAACGAGTGATATTTCAAATCATGAATCAGGTTTGTGTGGCCTGACTTTGACGAGTATCTTCAGCACAGTTTGCAGTGCAGGCTGCAATATTAGTAATACTAAATTTTTTCTGCTTGGTCTGATCTCTCTCAGACAGTGTGAAGCACACGAGAGCATTACCGTGGGGTCTCGTGTGGAGAGGAAGATGACGAAGGAAGGAGACAGATCGATGTCCTGATCTCCGAGCGTGATGAGCACTCGGCCGCCGGTCCTGCGCACCTCTCGGTTGAGCACCGGGTTCAGTATTGGGTCGTAGCTCTCCACGTCCTGACAAGAGAATCAGCGACACACAGGCATTAATGAGCAAACGCCCAGACCCTGACAGATGAAGACGGAGCTGGATGTTTCTACAGTAATAATGAGGCCTCGTACCTGCACCAGCAGAGGGTTGCCGAATCTCAGAGCGCTCTCCAAATTCTTCCTGAAGGCATCGTCCAAAAAGCTGGTGCGGGTGATCTTTTTGTCTTTATATTCGTTCAAGATGAACTCCGTGGCCTGACCTGATGGGTCAATGATGAGCGGATACCTGCAGAACACGACACACGCGTGTGAGAAATCCGCAAGAGTTAGAGCTGTCAAATAATAATTCAGATTTCAAATATTCGTCAAATTTAAAATAAAAATCCACATTCGAATGCAAAAAAGTTGCATTTGAATTTTAGGTGTGTGTCAAGGCAGCCGTATCAGGGGTGCACAAAATGCAATGTAAGAGTCGTTGCTTTTGAAATGTTTTTGTAAAGTTATTTTTATGCCTTTTTTTATTTAGATAGGACAGTAGAGTGAGAGAGTGGAGAGCAGGATCGGCAAATGACCTCGAGACGGGAATCAAGTCTCAAACTCTCGGGAATTGAGACTTCATGGTGTTTTTCCCCATCCCACTGCATCTCATGTTTTTAAATGAAAAAGTGCTCTTTGTGATTTGGTTTTCGTTCCTTTGTATTAAACTATGCATACATGATGCTGTTTTGTTTATAATCATTTAAGCAACTTATTTTTGGTTTATAAACATTTATTGCTTTAATAAAAATGCATTAGTAATATTTTGCTCGATGCAACCTCTGAGAGAAGCCAAAATCGTCTCCTCCCCCCTAACTGAAATCATGCCTTTTAAATTTGAATGCAATTCGAATATTGATAATATTTAAGTGCAGAATTCGAATATAGCTTTTCAGTCATTTTGACAGCCCTAGCAAGAGTCCTTCAGTAATCCACCCGTCCCGTCTCATCTCTGCTCTCACCGGTTGAAGCGCTTCAGCATGATGGCGTTCTCGGTGCACAGGTCGTCAGCGGGCAGTGAGTTGGCCTGCCAGCGCAGCCTCTCGTCCGCATTGGAGAGATACTCCGTCCTGGCGATGTCCGTGCGGAACTGGATGGGAGAAAGCGCAGGTTTCAGGATCTAAAGCGCTCAGTGCTGCATTATGGCAATATTCTGTGATGTTCTCTGTACCTGAATGTTGGCCTGCTGGAGGTGATGGGACCAGGTGGTGAAGAGGTTCTGTCTCATCTGCTGGTCAAAGTAACCAGCGTAAGCGATGAAGGCGGCGGAGAGCAGACAGTCTCCAGCGATGGTGGACATCTGGTTCTTGAAGGTCTCGCTGGTCTTTTCCCATCGCTCTCTCTCAGCAGATAAACTCTTCAGCAGGGCTGTGCTGCGGTTCACCTGCACAGAGATTAGAAGACTAGCCAAGCTTAACAGACAGCTGTTCAGAGAATACTACAACTAGCCAGAAGACGGGTTTCCCCGTCTAAGCTCTGTGAACGTGCTTCGAGAGGTTTTCATGTTGTATTCAACTTTCAAATGAGGAACAAATGAAATGCATTGTTTGTTGGCTTGATTTGTGAACACCACGCCAGCTTCTTTGGCTCTTTTCATATCTAAAACCAGATTTAAGTTATTAAAAAGACATTTTATTAAATTACATTTGGATTAACTTGATTAAAATCCTTTTCAATGGCCACAACAGAATAAACCACTTCCTCTAAGGAGCAGCAATATTGAAATGTGCTCATCTCATCGGTGGTTGTGGTCATACCTTCGCCTCCACAGCAGCCAGATCAGCTTTGATGGCCTGCGCTTCAGAGATGAGCACGGCGTACTCCTCCTTATAGCGTGCGATGCTGTTCTCCAGATCCCGGATCATCTGCTCCACCTCCTCGGCCTTCGTCTTGTTGTCTTTAGCGTCGTCCTCCAGCTTCTGCAGCTCGTTCCTCAGCGGCTCGACCCGCTTCAGCATGTCTGCGTAATTCAGCTGAACACAGAGCCAGAGATCAGCAGCGAGTCGCCGCGCTCGCGCAGAGCTTCAGCGGTCAGTGTCGTACCTGAGCGATGGCCCACTTGACCATCGGCCCGCAGGCCAGAGACGCCCGGTTCACCTGCTCGTAGTTGTAGCTGGGGTTGGACATGTAGTTCTTCTTCATCTTCTCACGGATGGAGTCACTAGGACGCAGGAAAAGTGTGTTAGAATGAAGCCGACTGTGATTTCATCATGACAGAATGAGGATGAACTGAACTTAACATCTACACACTTCACCTTCACACATGATCTCGGGGATTCACTAAATCTCTGTCAGCCAAACCCCTTTGAGCTACAAGATTTTCTTGAAGTCCCCTTGAGACTTGAAGTTAATATATTTAAATCTGGGCTGTCGATTTAACATGTTTATTAGGTGCAATTGATTGATTTTTTACAAGTTGTTAATATTCCACTAAATTTGATATACTGCCACTATTGTCTGTTTTTGCTCAATTTGCAAATGAAAAGTTCACAACAGCAGAACTGTTAAGTGTTTTCGATCAACACAGCTGTGTTTTTCCTTAGTGAATGAATGCGAGGTTTTGAACAAATCAAGTGAGTCAAAGACTCAGTGACTTGTTCATAAAGACAGTCACTTGATTCACTCCTGAATGAATCAGCTGTTTGAAGGAATCAGTTGAATGAATGACTCACTCATTAAGACAGTTGGCACTTTTGGTTTCATATTTAGAGTATTCATTTCATGAATCAGTACTAAAGATACTTTTTTTGTAATGTTTATTCAATGCTTTTCACATTTAACAAATAAGTAATCTCTCTCAGCACAAACTGACTTGTGATTAATTTGCGATTAGATTAATTATATGCCACATCATGTAATTAATTAGATTAAAAACAGCCCTAATTTCAATAACTCAAGACATTCACATGTTCATAGTCAGTTAATAGTCACATGACATTTAGATAAACAGAATATTTAAACTATTTAGTGTTAAATTTTGATCGTTTATTCTAACATTACATTTACGATTAATTATGTTTTCATCGACTCATGAACCCTGGTTTGGGAATCCATGCAGTGGCGTCTGAACGACACAGAGTCCGTCTCACACCTGAGAGGAAGTAGTATGAAAGAGATGATTATACCTCGTGTCCTCAGAGACAAAGTTGACTATGCTGGAGATGAAATTGTCTCTGATAATAACTTGTCTGATCTTTTTCCAGTCACTAGTTTCCTCCCCCAGCAGGAGGCAGATCGACTCTAGAGCCAGTTTAACGGCTGCCGGAGGGTTGGCCATAGCGCGAACCTCAACCAGATGCTGCTTCTTAATCGAGCTGACCGCTAGAGAGGGAATGGAGGTGTGTGGTTTAGGACCATGAGGACACATGGGTTCACGCGGGGGAGCGGAGCGGCCGCGGAGCCGGAAAGAGGAACCGTGTGTCACGTGACGAGCCAATCAGAGCTCCAGCCCATCATTCTGGGCCAGCAGTTAATTTGATCTTAAGTTTGTGTCTCTCGCAGAGACGAGGACCACGCTCGTCCTCTTTACATGCTACGCCGCCGCTCCGCACCCCGCAGTCAGTCACCTGATCTCATCAGCAGAAAAGTTCACAATAGTGGGGATGAAGTTCTCGCGCATTATGATGGAGCGAATCTGCTTCCAGTCGGTGGTGCTCTCGCCCAGCAGCAGACAGATGGACTCCAGAGCCAGCTTGACTGCCGCCGGCGGGTTGGCCATCGAAAAGAGTGAAGACAGGAAGAGGTTAGCGCAGAGAAAAGACCACCGAACACCGCTGGCAAACACACACAAGACAGAGCTGAAAGCAGAAAGAAGGGAAGGAAATATCCACTGACGTCTCCGGCGACTGACACAGTCACAGCCGGTCACTAGGTGGCGCTTCTTGTTTTAGAGCAGATGTAAACAGTCATTTTGATTATTAGCCAAATGTTTCTCAAATATGGAGCGTAAACTCTGACGTCAACAGCAGGTGTCATCTGGGCCCTCAAACCAGTGAATATTTCCTTAGTGGATCACAACTGACAGGAAAAAACATTTCAAACTGATACTGTATTTAATATTAAAGGGCGACCGATGTATCGGTTTTGCCGATCAATCAGCACCAATAGTTGATTGACGGAACTATCGGCAAAAATCTCTCCCGATAGTTCTCCAGGTTGCGTCTGTTGCTGGAGCGGCTGAGAAGTGTCTGCTGTCATTATACAGAGCGAGAGCGGCCTCTAGAGGCAGAAATCACTGACACCTCGTGCTGTTTGTTTTGACACGTGACACTGCACTGCACAGAGCGGGAAGCTTCAGACGCAGATTTAAACGCAGCTGACAGAAATTCCTGCCGCGCCACAGAGCGCCATTCACATAGTTTTACATTAAAATGACATTACATTCGTCCCAAATCATTGTTTAATGTACGTGATGACTTCACCCTAGGCTGTAAAATTGTGTATTGTGCATTTTTCAGCGAAATGTTAAAGTCTGTATGCTTGATATAGAGAGCTGTAATATAGATGGCACTTTCTCTTTCCGTTTGCTCTGTTCATTTAAACGCCAAACTTCAAACTCATCTATGCTGCTTTGTTCATTCTTGAAGTAAACTTTTTCCTGTTTGGTGATTAAATAAACAGTTTTAGACCGCCGCTTGAGTTGAACGCGAAGCATCCGCTGTGTGTGTGTGTGTGTGTGTGGTACCTAGGGCTGCGACGATAAATCGATGCAGAATTGATTCGTGGATCGAATCTGAGATCTTGTGAATGCATCGTGATTCTGAGCTTATTCAATTTTAACAGCAGATGGCGCTCTACTCTAGTTTTCCTATCCGCACACTCAAACACTCATGAAGAAGAGCTGAAGAGCGCTTGTGCGTTCGGCTGAGTCTGTAATTTCACCTCGGCTCAGAATGCTTTTATGACGCCAGATTAATGTAAACACAGCCCACTGTGAACACCCTTGTGATTCGCTTCAACCTTTATGAATTTTATGAATGATTATTTTATAGTTTTATATATAGTTTATAGTTTATATTTTAGTGTGTGTAAGGATTTGGAAACGAGCAGAGTACGGCTGTTTCTAAAGCATGCAGCACCATCTGCAGTTCAAAACTAAGCTCAGAATAATTTTTTTTCTGCGACTAAGCGACTAATAAAATTTTGGTCGACCAGTTAGTCGACTATTAGGGTGCAGCCCTAGATAGAAGCAAATAAAGTGTGAGAGTACACATACAATATCCATATTTAATATGTAATTTCAGTGCTACGGCCTTTGTGTATTTAAAGATGGCCATGACTGTTGAAATGAAATGGTAATACTTTACTCCATTTTTAACATTAAGATTAATTGTTCCTTGTTAGAGTGTGTTTATTCAAAATTTACTGTTACTAACACATTTTTTAATTTTGAAGTTTCTTCTGTTAACATTAGTTAAACTATGAACTAACTTAAATGATCCAATATAAAAATGAATATTCATATTTTTATTCATTTACAAATTATGGTTCAGTAGTGTTTTTGTTTTTTTTTTTTAATAGTAAAGCACTATTTTAGTTTTCTTTCAGTATCCATTTTAAAAACTATTGGTTGATTAATTTGGTATCGGCCAGTGTGGTCCAACCTAGCTATCAGTATCAGTAAAATCTGCTATCGGTCGACCTCTAGTTAATGTGTGCAGATTTTTGCAACGTGAATCTGGACAAACAGCAGCACCAGCAGTGGAAGCGCAGAGGAGAGTGGAGCGAACCGTACCGTTCTGAGCCTCGATGACGGCCGGCTCCACCTGGTCCAAATCCTGCTTCACGCTCAGCTGCTTGACTTTAATCACTTCCTGCTGCTTGTAAACCGCTTCCTGTATATCCTGACTCATGACCTGTTAAGCCAAACAACACCTGTCAGGTTATTTACGAGAGCAGCGGCACAAGAGCACTGAAGCGATGCGCTGAACGATGACTTGCCTTCTTCTTCTCGGCCTCCTGCTGGTCTTTCACCATCTTCTTCAGCTTGTCGTTGGCAGCAGCGTTCTTGACCTCCAGCTCCTGACTCTTGATCCGCAGGTCGCGCCGCAGCTCCTCCACCTGTGACGTCACACGGTTAATAACGCTAAACGAGCTCATGCATCTGCATGTGTGATGTCGTGTGAAGCGCGCACCTGATCGACGGTCTCTTTGATTTTGCGCAGACCCACGTTCAGATGCATCTGCTGCTCCTCCAGCTCGCTGCGCTTCTCGTTGAACAGGTTAGCGTAGTGGTTGATGAAGTCCAGGTAGTGGCGCGGGGTGATGGCCATAGTGCGGCCGCCGCGCTTCGCCAGACGGTTGTTAGCCTAACACACACGCAGAGAAATAAAGCATCACAGTGTGCACTGAAACTAGAGCTGCACGATTCTGGATAAATTGAGAATCACGATTTTTTGGTCTCAAATAGAGATCACGATTCTCCCACGATTCTTACCTAAAAAAAATTTGTAATTTACTAGAGGCTGTGAGAAAATATTAATTGCTGCAATCTATTTAAAAGTGTTTAATTCATTTGCATGAATTAAACATTTAAATTTATATATATATATCATTTTACACTTGTTTCAATACTGGACGAATCAGCGTTTTTGAATTAATCTCTTGAATGAATGATTCAATGACAAATACATTTTTTAACGGTCACTTGTCACCACCTAGTGGCGAAACAATGCAATCGACAAACGTTATTTGATACTTTCTAAAGGTGATTTGCTCTATTTTGATCACTACCATAGACATCAGTGTTTATATCCGAACTATAAACTTTCATCCCATTATTTCTGTGATAATATGAATGACTGTAAGACAAATAATGCTGTGTAGTTGAAAAGACTGTTTGTGAAGTGCAGTATGTTTGGGAACAAGTGCAGTATGGAGTACCTCAAGGCTCAGTACTAGGGCCGTTACTTTTCACGCTTTACAAGTTATCCTTGGGAGATATCATCAGGAAACACGGTGTTAGCTTTCACTGTTATGCTGATGATACTCGGCTCTATATTTCTTCGCGGCCCGGTGAAACATACCAATTAAAAAAACTAACAGAACACATAGTCGATATAAAAAACTGGATGATGAGTAATTTCTTACTGCTAAATTCTGAAAAAACAGAGGTGTTAATTATAGGACCAAAAACCTCCGCATGTCTAATACTTGATGTCTATGTTTATGCATCCGGCCCCAGATCGCGTGGGTGTCTGAATCGAGATTGCGATCTTTTGAAATAAAATTTTCACCAAAACCAAATTTCTTTAATGTATAGAAAAGGTATCCCCATTCTAGCCGATCAAATGCTTTCTCAGCATCTAATGATAGGACAGAGATTGCGATCTTTTAACGATTTATGGTGCAGCTCTAACTGAAACCGATGTGAATCTCATCAGACGCTCTCTGACCTGGTGCAGCGTCTGATGCACGAACACGCAGCCGTTGACGATAGCCTCGCGGTGTGTGGGCAGCTGCGGCAGCTTGTCATACACGGTGGGCATGTAGTCCGGCACTTTGTAGTTGGGCTTCTCCAGGTCCATCTTGCTGGTGAACTCTTTACCCACCTGATAGAGCGCTTCAGTGGACCAATCGCCAAACCAGTTGAGCACACACCTGAGGAGAAACACGCATCAGTCCAGCATAAAAGCAACATCGGTTAGAGAAAGAGCACACAGGAGTCGACATTAGCTGTGATTTTAACTTATGCACAAAATTAGAATATGACATAATAAATCTGCGAATAAAGCACTGTTTCCATCCCATGAGTTAAAAAAAAAAAAAAAAAAAAAAAAAAAGAGCATCAAGAATAAAAATGAAAGTTGCCTCAACCGGGGAACCGGTGTCTCTGTTTTCCTACATAAATGACTTGCACTTGATGAAAAGCAATAAACACTGTCATGTTATCTTTCGTTCGGATGCCTGAGGCAGTTATGGGAGGCGATTTGATATCATTTTTTTGACAGACTTTGGCTCAGACATTTCAAAATTATTAAAGCATTTGAGATGGTGTGCAATGAGATCAGTGCACTGGTTAGTCCAGTTATCCAGTCACATGATCTGCTGAGGTAAAATCACATGACTTTTTTTGATACGCACTAAGGAATTTATTTAGTAAATGGGTTTCCATCGTAGTTTATGCATATCTTCTTACTGGATAAAACAATTATTTGACCCAAGAGCGCAAAAGCTTTTCTGATGCACATTTGTAGAATTTACAAACATCATGGCATTTCCTTCCAGTGTTTTTTTTAAAGCAATATCCCAAAATTTGCATAAAAGTAGGTGGATAGTTAACAGTTCTTCATTTAAGCAGACATGTCCTGCATTCTTGTAGCTGAAACAGAAGATCACGACGCTAGCAATAGCAAGGTCATGGGTTTGATTGCCAGGGAAAGCATGAACTGATCAAATGTATGAAATGTATGGATGATAGCATGTGCCACAAACGCACCTGTTGAAGAGGGCAGGTGAGGTGGCCGCTCTGTCCTTCAGCCCCTCCGATGACGGGTTCATGGTGAACACCACGTGCAGGTTCCTGATCACCTGACTGGTGAACCATTTGTACAGCTCCTCATGTGTGTCCAGCATCAAGCCCTCCTTCTGCGCTCCTTCCTTGCACTGCGTCATCAGGGTGGCGTATTCGTCGCCCTCGAACAGGCCGGGCACCTGCAACAGCACAGAGCGGTCAGAACACACGACGAGACGGAGAGCGGGTCTTCGTTCACGGGTCGCACCTCTCCGTTGGCCAGCAGCGTGTTCATGCGCTCCAGGAAGCCTGAGTCCAGCACGTTCGACTCGTCCATGATGAAGGCGATCTTCTCGTTCTTGCAGCCAGAGCGGCGGAGCACTGTCCGCAGGTCTTCATCAAAGTCCTCGCCGGTGTATTTCCTGTGGACCTGTGAGGATACGATGAGTTACAAAAGCCTCAAACAAACGAAACTTGACAGACAATCAAATGTTTGCTTGCTCGAACCTTGATCTGATAGACAGTCAGTCCGTTCATCCAGGCCACGAAGCGGGAGAGCGTGGTCTTTCCAGCGCCGCTGACGCCGATCAGGAGCAGGTGACCCTGCGGCTGACGGAAGATTCTGGAGGGAGAACATCAGCGTGACGTTACTGAAGCGTCAGCGGGGTGAAATAAACAGCTGTGTTTCTTCAGGCTCTCTGTACCTGTCGATCCTCAGCACGTGATCCAGAACCTCATTGAAGAGCACCAGAGGAACGTCCAGCTCCTCCTCGTAGAACACCTTCAGTCTGGCCTTCACATAGTTGCGCAGCTCCTCCTGCTCCACGGGAACGTAGTCCTGCAGGAGAACAGCAGAAGCGGTCAGTCGTATCCGAGTCTGCAGTGATGTCCAGAAGAGTTCAGCTCGGTCACTCACCTTGGAGAGCCAGTTGCTGTACAGGATGGGTCTGTTAAGGGCTTTGTCACGGTCGATGTTAGGAAAGTGTTTGAGGGCGACCATGTGTATGTTCTCATCGGTCCAGCGTCTCTCCTCATCCTCCACCAATCTGCCGGGAGAATCAGTTCAATCCGTGTGCAATGTCACAAGAACGAACACATACTTATAGGTTTGCTGCAGCTGCACATTTTGGTACGCTCTGAAATGTAACACTGTTAGAAGAAAATGCAACATTGTTCCAAAACAGGAACCAAAATTGCAACAAAGTGCAAAGTGCCTAACAGGTCTGAAAAGAGCCTTAACCCAAAATGAAAATTACCCCATGATTTACTCACCCTCAAGGCATCCTAGGTGTGTATGACTTTCTTCTTTCAGATGAATCCAGTAAGAGTTATATTAAAAATGTCCTGGCTCTTCCGAGCTTTATAATGGCAGTGGGCGGGTGTTTTTTTTTTTAATAGTCCAAAAGAAGTCCAATAAAGCGCATCCATCCATAATAAAAGGTGCCAAAGTTTCCGTACTTTAGCAAAAGCAAACCAGTCTCCTCTTGGCTTATATCGAAATCCTCAAATTTTCTTTACAAATCTTTTTGTACTTCTAATTCATGACCGGCGTTTTGTTTTGCTCTCTCCACTGCGCTTCCGCGTTTGTCACGAATCACTGGAGCTGACGCTACGCCGACATCCTACATCTGCCAGAATGGTGTTCCATTGTGAATGCGCGTACGAGTTAGCGGAGGCTAGAGATTACTGTTTATAATGTTTTAAATATGGATATTTTTCTTACAAAAATTCATGGATTCGCTACAGGAGGACTTTATTCACCCCCTGGAGCCATGTGAGGCACTTTTTATTATGGATGGATGGATGCACTTTATTGGACTTCTTTTGGACTATTGAAAAATAACACCCATTCACCGCCACTGTAAAGCTTGGAAGAGCCAAGACGTTTTTAAATATAACTCCGATTGTATTCATCTGTAAGAAGAAAGTCATATACACCTAGGAGGGCTTAAGGATGAGTAAATCATTGGGTAATTTTCATTTTTAGGTGAGCAATCCCTTTAAACTCACCGGTCCTGGAAGAGTCGCAGTGCTTCGTGAGCCCAGATGCGAATCAGACCCTCCACAGGCAGCGTCTCCAGCGGCCGCAGCGCCTCAAAGATGCCTCGGACCCAGCGGGTCATCTCTCTCGGAGAGTAGATGTAGTGCGGCTGCGTGTCCTGAGTGAACCGCTCCTGCTCAAACACACCAGAGAGTTCAATCCAAAGCAGTCAAGAGCGCATTCAAGATTTCATCAGCTCGGGAGTCAAACCCATGAGCATTCATAGCTTTCAGTCACGTGACCGGCTCGAAGACCTGGAGGCCAAAACATCCATAGAACTGCAGCACAAGCCTGTCAATTTTCCACCTGTTTCCAAGCCGCAAATATTTAGATCACCTCTCAGAAGAATAAAACAAAGATATGCAAACAAAATGCAAGTTTTGGCCATTTGCCATCCATATTAAGCACCCGCCGCAATATTTCACTCACTAAACACAGCGCGACAAAACGTTGTGAAAAACACTTAAAGTGCCTTTATTGTATTTAAAACGGTGATATTAAAAGATCAAATTCAGTACACACCTTACTGATGATGCATACTTTATATAGGCAAGCAGATGAGCCTGGAATATGAATTGCGTTTATATTCTGGGTTCATCTGCTTGCCTGTATAAAGTATGCATCATCAGTAAGGTGTATACTGAATTTCGCCTTTTAATATTAGCGTTTTACTACATTACTACTTAATGCAAACTGTGTAAAATAACTGGCGGCCAGCAGAGCAAAGCCTCGTTTTGCCCTCCAGGTGGCCGCTCCTATAAGGGTGTGACGTCACGTGAAAACTATCAATTAAGCGGTTAAAATGCAAACCTGAGACATGGTGTAGAACTCGACCATGGCCGCCGTGAGCGGCTCAGCAAAGGTCCGCAGTGACGGGATGAGTCTGAGCATGGCTCTGTTGAAGGTGCCGTAGATCTGCGTGAGCGAGGCGGGGCCGGGATAGTCCACATACACCACCGGCACGTGACGCAAAAACCTGTAAACGCTCACACGAGTTAGGTCATGACACCAGTAGAATATTATTAACTATAAATGTTCTGTAAAAAAAATTAACAGCAGCTTTCACCATGATGCAAACATGAAATATCAGACATACAGTGCCGCCCACTAATATTGGCACCCTTGGTAAATATGAGCAAAGGCGGCTGTGAAAATAAATCTGCATAATTTTTCTTTGATCTTTCATTCAAAAAATTCAAAAAAATTCTACATTTTCATTGAAGTAAATCAATTGAAAGTGGGGGGAAACTCACATTATGAAAAATGTTTTTCTCCAATGCACGTTGGCAGAGTTCAATCCAAAGCAGTCAAGAGCGCATTCAAGATTTCATCAGCTCGGGAGTCAAACCCATGAGCATTCATAGCTTTCAGTCACGTGACCGGCTCGAAGACCTGGAGGCCAAAACATCCATAGAACTGCAGCACAAGCCTGTCAATTTTCCACCTGTTTCCAAGCCGCAAATATTTAGATCACCTCTCAGAAGAATAAAACAAAGATATGCAAACAAAATGCAAGTTTTGGCCATTTGCCATCCATATTAAGCACCCGCCGCAATATTTCACTCACTAAACACAGCGCGACAAAACGTTGTGAAAAACACTTAAAGTGCCTTTATTGTATTTAAAACGGTGATATTAAAAGATCAAATTCAGTACACACCTTACTGATGATGCATACTTTATATAGGCAAGCAGATGAGCCTGGAATATGAATTGCGTTTATATTCTGGGTTCATCTGCTTGCCTGTATAAAGTATGCATCATCAGTAAGGTGTATACTGAATTTCGCCTTTTAATATTAGCGTTTTACTACATTACTACTTAATGCAAACTGTGTAAAATAACTGGCGGCCAGCAGAGCAAAGCCTCGTTTTGCCCTCCAGGTGGCCGCTCCTATAAGGGTGTGACGTCACGTGAAAACTATCAATTAAGCGGTTAAAATGCAAACCTGAGACATGGTGTAGAACTCGACCATGGCCGCCGTGAGCGGCTCAGCAAAGGTCCGCAGTGACGGGATGAGTCTGAGCATGGCTCTGTTGAAGGTGCCGTAGATCTGCGTGAGCGAGGCGGGGCCGGGATAGTCCACATACACCACCGGCACGTGACGCAAAAACCTGTAAACGCTCACACGAGTTAGGTCATGACACCAGTAGAATATTATTAACTATAAATGTTCTGTAAAAAAAATTAACAGCAGCTTTCACCATGATGCAAACATGAAATATCAGACATACAGTGCCGCCCACTAATATTGGCACCCTTGGTAAATATGAGCAAAGGCGGCTGTGAAAATAAATCTGCATAATTTTTCTTTGATCTTTCATTCAAAAAATTCAAAAAAATTCTACATTTTCATTGAAGTAAATCAATTGAAAGTGGGGGGAAACTCACATTATGAAAAATGTTTTTCTCCAATGCACGTTGGCTACCATTATTGGCACCCCTAGAAATTCTTATGAGTAAAATATCTCAAGTATACCGCTTCATATTTACCCCAATGTGGTAAGAAAAATAATCTTAATTCGAAGGCTAAACAAGATAATTTTTCTTGCCCCATTGGCAGATATTTTTACTTGCTTGAAGCAAAAACTAACAAAATTGAGATATTTTTTTCATAAAACAAGACATTATATCTTGAGTCATTTTACTTGTCAAGTAAACGCATCTTAATTCCAGAATTTGTAGATATTTATACTAGAAAACAAGACAAAAATACTAAGCAAGAAAATCATGTTTTGCAGTGTTCGAATTAATAGATAAAATTGGAAAAATTGCCCAGCCCTACTAAACACATCTACTGAACACGTGTCTTTATTAGCAGTGATGACGACAGCCGAACCTGTATGAGAGCGGCTTCCTGCCGGGGTCTGTGGGAGGGTTACAGGCCCCGACGAACTGGATCCGCTCCAGCTTCACCCAGGTCTGGTCTGAGGTGCGGTAGAAGCCGCCGTGCTCCACCATCTGAACACAACACAGCACGGGTTACACCACAGACAGACACACAGCAGGAGCCGGACTCAGCGAGACGCTCGCACACGCACCTGTCTGATGAAGGAGATGACCCGCTGCGTGCCGTACTTGTCCATGTCAGGCAGGTTGATCTCGTCGCAGAAGAGCACCAGCCACTTGCCCAGCTGCACCGGAGCCAGAACCACGCCGTTAGGAGTCCTGCGGTACTCGCAGTAATGATCGAAGGTCTTCAGCAGCAGCTCCGGAGTCGTAGCGCTGGAGAAGTTCAAACCCACCACCTGGAGAAAACACATTTCACAAGTGTCCAAGCAGTCGACCCAGCATCACATCACAGAACACAGCTGTGCCAGTGGATCTGCTTTAGGAACACTGCATTGGTTCATCTGTAGGGCCCCATGATTTCCAGCAATAGTAGATCGGTACACTTTAATCAAAACACAATATGGACTAGTGTCTGTGAATATTAAGCCGCATTTAAATATGAATCCTGTGTGTTCTGCGTGTCTCTGAGGTTTCGTTTACTTCACTTTACTGCCGCCTCAATATATGAACACATGAACATGATCTCTAGAACTGCTCTGAGAGTCGCATCATGAGCATTTCACCGTTTCTTTTGAGTAAAACTATCGTTATATCATAAACAAACAGAAACCTAAAGGTCTTCACAGCAGCCTGTCAAAATAAAAGTTCGGTTTAACTTGAAGAAACAGTGACAGAAATATCACTTAGTGTAATGATAGTACTGCTACTAATAATAAAATTAAAACATTATTTTGGAAAGAATATTTACCAAAATAAATATTTACCAGAAAAATGTAAATACATAGAAATATATATTTTTTTTATAAAATAAATTAATTAGAGATGCTCTTTTTATAATTAATATTTAATGAAACCATTAAAATGGAATCCAGAAAATTTATGGAAAACCGAATTAAAAATAGACAATAAAACTGAATATTTCATATCACCTTGAAAACTTAATTTCTGTTAAATGTTTAATAAATTGCTGTTTAATATTTTAAGTTTCATGATTTCAAATAATTAGACATGCTTTTTGATGACTACAATTTAAATTTAACCATTAAAACAGCCTAGAAAATAGAAAGAACGGAATCCAGAAAAATGTAAAAAGGAATTTAGAAAAAAAATAAAACTATTTGTGAAAAAACTGATTTCATAGGGCCCTACACCTGTAAGAAGAGATTCCGGTTTTCTGAATGTAATCCGCTCCTCACCTCCATGTCCGGCAGGGCTCTCAGGGCACTGAACAGGGTCATGGTTTTCCCGGAGCCCGGCGGCCCACAGAGCACCAGAGGCTTGTGTTCGGCCAGCCAGGTGTAGAGCAGAGCCTCGTGACGCACCGTGTCCAGAGTGGGCACCACCACGTCCGGCGAGGCCACCTTGTGCGTCTCCACCTCGATCTGAGGCACCTTCACCTGCCAGGACTGCCACTCGCCCGTGATGGACACCTGACGGATTCAGAGCAGCGTTAGAGTCGCACTCAAACATCACAATCGATCTGAGACTGCGTCTGCTCGCACCTCGTAGTCGATGATCGGCACGTTCGGCGCGGACGGGAGAGACACGGTGGTGATGCGGCGAATGTATTCTCCCAGCTCCGCTCGCATCTTCAGCCTGCTGTCGCCCGAGAAGGACCACAGCACTGCGTAGATGAGGTATTTCTGCACGACAAAGGTTAAAGGTTAGCACCTGTTTGTCATATGTGACCCTGGAGCACAAAACCAGTCTTATTTGTAGCAACAGCCAACAATACATTGTATGGGTCAAAATTATCCATTTTGCTTTTATGCCAAAAATGGATTTTCTCAATGTTTAGATTTTTTTGCACCCTCAGATTCCAGATTTTCAAATAGTTGCATCTCAGCCAAATATTGTGCTATCCTAACAAACCATACATCAATGGAAAGCTTATTTATTCAGCTTTCAGATGACGTATAAATCCCAATTTAACAAAATTGACCCTTATGACTGGTTTCGTGCTCCAGTCACATTTAATCTCTGATTCTGAACTGAGCTGGACGATGACATCATCAATGATGAACTGACTTTAACTGAAATATTGTGTTTATTATTGTCCTTTTGTATTATTACACACTATTTTTCCTATTTAATACTGTAAAGCTGCTTTGACAAAATCTGTATTGCTAAAAGCGCTACACTGCAAAACATGATTCTCTTAGTATTTCTGTCTTGTTTTCTCGTATAAATATCTAAACATTCTTGAATCAAGATGAATTTACTGTACAAATAAAATGACAAGATATTAGGTGTTGTTTTCTGTAAAAATGATCATAATTTTGTTAGTTTTTGCTTTAAACAAACAAAAATATCTGCCAATGGGGCAAGAAAAATAATTTTGTTTAGCCTTTGAATTAAGATGATTTTTCTTGCCCCATTGGCAGATATTTTTGTTTGTTTTAAACAAAAACTAACAAAATTGAGAATTTATCTTTTAGAAAACAAAACATAATATCTTAAGTCATTTTATTTGTACAGTAAATTCATCTTGATTCAAGAATGTTTAGATATTTATACTAGAAAACAAGACAGAAATACTAAGTAAGAGAATCAGTTTTTGCAGTGTATATAAATAAAGCTGACTTGACCCGTCCAGGCATGCCGCACCTGCATGTATTTCTCCAGCTGGTCGATGGGCATGGGGAAATCAGGGTGGTTGTTGTTGTAGAGGGCCACGTTGCGGCAGGCCTGATGCAGCATGGAGAAGAGCGAACTCAGCGAGCGCAGACGCGTGAAGTCCATGATGTGCTCCATCTTTGACGCGTGTTCCAGAGCTTTGATGACCAGACCGGTGGAGGTGAAATACGGCTGCAGTATCGCAGCAGCGTCTCTCTGGATCTGTGGATTAAACACAAGGCTCTAAAAACTGACAAGTACAAGCATGAAGGACAAAACTGAGTGATAGTAGAGAAGGACGCAAGATAAACGGCATGCAGAACGGGACTATTAGTTATCAGGGCCGTGCTGGAAAAGTCAGATTCTCAGGAAGGATCAGATTCTAGATCCTTCTTTCAATGTTTATAATTTAACCGTACAAAGATACTGTATCATATTTGAAACAAATTTCTAAGGCCTCTAAGTGATCAAACTCTGCTCTTTTAGTGTAATTGTACAAACGTCCTCCTTCAGCTGGAGCTTCTCGTGTCAAATCTTGACTGATTTTTATCAAGTAAGCGTCAGAATAACTGCAGTAATATCTCCAGATGAACACTTACTGGACTGAAGCAGCTCAGCTTTACTTGATTCTCCATCAATCATGTTTTAGAGTCTCAAATCTGATCCTCAGGATCTTTTGAGGAGCGTTTGTTTCCAGAAGCTTTACTTTCACTGTTCCTCAGTGGAGGAATGATCTTCACAAGCCTCCAGAACATCTCACATCTTCTGAGGAGCCTTTATTTCTTCAGCTCTCAATCACTGCATTATATGTTTGGAGCATTTTAATCTCAGCTTACTGAGACTGATTACTGCAGATATAGAGCGATGACTGCTATTTAGATCATTTTACGTAGTTTTGCACGCTAGAGTACCTGCAGCATGGGTGAGGCGGCCTCCTCGCCCTCGTCCTCCGTGGCCTTCCTCATGCGCTGGGCCTCATCCTCTCCCTCATCCAGCGGGATGCTCCGCAGACGTGCCAGGAAGTTGTTGAAGATCATGTCTGTGCTGAGAACGTCCTCGCTGAACCAGACCATCCCACAGCGAGACACTGTGGCCAGTGTGGCGTACTTCAGGTCCTGCACCTCAAACATGATGCGCACCTGTGTGACGAGAGCGGCGACATCATCAGCATCATCAGCATCATCATCATCATCAGCATGTACTACAGACCTGGGCCCGTATTCACAAAACATTTGATCTTACCATTAAGAGTTCTCCTAAATAGCAGTAAAAGTTTTCAGCTAAGAGTTTTCTCTTAAAAGCTATTCACAAAGCTGCTAAGGAATAGAGAAGTCTTAAGCTCAGAGTAAGGGGGCGGGGCTGAGCTCGTTGCTATGGGTGATGTCAGCATGCTTATTAACTATGCACACAGTGATTGGCTGATAGTCTGTCAGAGATTTATTCACGGGAATATTGTAGAGCACAAATAAATAAAGGTTTAAAAATAAAAATGTTAATTGACATTCAAATAAAGATATTAAGATGCAGGCTTAGAGTCACTAATTAAACATGTATATGTTCAGCTAATTGTCAGCCTCTTACACGTGTGCTTCTCAAACAATTAGTGAATATGCATAGAAACAGCCTTTTAATTAACAGAGTAGAATAATCATGGCTGATAGTAAGACATGCAAACGTAAAACCGCTAAAAGAACAGCGGTTACTTCTTGTCCAGCTGCTTAATGAAAACAAGGATATAATCAAAGGAAAATATGGAGTTGTGATAACCTCCAAAACCAAAGGCGATGCTTTTTTAAAAGCTCATTATCGTCAAACGTTTCTAAAATGTTTACGTTCCGAGGCAGATTGCGGGCAGCAGCTATTTTAGGATAGTTTGTGGCTTAGGACTCTTGTTCACTTCTCCTAACGTTTCACAGATTTAGGAGCTAGTTTTAGTGCTGAAACGCTTCGTGAAACACTCTTAGAGCTAAAATTTAGGAGTCCTACATTTAGGACTGACACGCCCATTATTTTTAAGATTTTCTCCTAAATCGGCGGTGAGCTACTATTATCCTGAAGATGTTTTGTGAATACAGGCTGATTGTCAGATCAGCTGCTCCGTACATTGGGCGGCAGGCTGAGACGCTCTCCGTTGGGAAGAGTCAGGAGTTTGTTGTCGTCCAGCACAGAGTTCAGATTCTCCACCCACTCCGGATCCACGTCACCGTCGAAGATGATCCACTGCCGCTTCTGCAGCTCTCCGCGAACGTTATCGATGATCCTGAACGAGAGCGCAAACACAGCACATGAGGAAAAGTCAAGTCGCCTTTATTTATATAGTGCTTTTAATAATACAGACTGTGTCAAAGCAGCTTTACAGTATCAAATAGTGTGTAATAATGCAAAAGGACAATAGTAAACACTTAGTCAGTTCATCATTGAATTCAGTGATGTCATCGTCCACCTCAGAGCATCGTAAGCCTAAGATGATCGTAGCTTCATTGGAGGCAATGGGATCTACAATGTACTTAGGTTTACGATGCTTTGGGGAAACGCAGCTCAGTTCAGTTTAAACAGTGTCTGTGCAATCAAGTCGACGATATCGCTGGATATTAAGTGTCCTCAACTAAGCAAGCCAGAGGAACCGAAACGCCATCGGTGACAGAATGGGTTAGGGTTAGGACAGAACAAACCCAAAATGACGATCAGAGCAGTGAAGACAGACGAGGACTCACTTTCTGAGCACGTGTGTGAAGAGCCCGTCGGTCCACTCGCGAGTGTTGGGGTCCAGCGTGCCGTACAGGTGGTCTTTGCTGATGGCTTTGGGGTCGATGATGTGAGCGACGCCCTCCAAACCCTCCAGCCTCTCCAGGGCTTTGAGCAGGACTCTCCAGGCCATGGTCTTCCCGCTCCCCGACGGACCGACCATCATCAGCCCGTGATTGATCTGCGTGATCTGATAGAGCTGCAGCACCTGAGGAGAAGAGCAGGGAACGGGTCAGGACTCATGGCTCTCTGTGTGTGCTGTACTATGAAGCGCGTCTTACCTTCTCCACCCACATGCTGCCCACGTCGTCTCCGTCTCCGTATGTGAGGTACATCTCAGCGCAGACCTTCCTCAGCTCCTCTCGCAGCGCCGTCATCTCTCCGCGCATGTACTGGACGCCGGGGAACACGTCAGAGAGCAGGCTGAAGAGCAGCGGGATGTCCTCGGCCACCAGCTTCGGCACCATGGTCTCACACACGCTCTGGATCAGAATCTGAGGATCGAGCGTATGAAGCGCGGTCAGAGATCACCACAATAATAACCAGCGCTGGGTTCACTCTTCAAACTCACGTGACTCAACATGACATCAAACCACACTCTATTTCCTTCATTCCTGTTCCTGGACTAATCATGAAAGACTTACCAGTGCATCAGTTCGTAAGCTTTCATCAAAATGATAATAAGATTCCAAGAAATAACAACATCTCTACCGAAGCCTGAATTTGTCACCAAACTTAACTTGATCATTGAGAAAAAAAAAAAAAAAAAAAAGTTGGATATGTGTCCTGCTTCCATCCACATACATACAGTATATTCATGTAAAGCAATTAAAACTATATAACAAATCTCAACTGCTTGATTATTTGTATCGTTTCAAAATTTATATTATTGTTCAGCTCTAAACTGCTACATTCAACTATAAGGCATGAAGATATTATGAACATTAACATGATTTTACATAAGAATGTTTTGAAACGAAGTGTTTTGTGAAAAGAGCAATAGAAATAAATGACTTGAAGCCCTTTTATTCTTTCAGTATCTCCTGTAATATAGAGACACGTTTAACCGATCAGCTCTCATGCTCTTGATTTGGAAACGTTTCATTACAGCAGTACAACAGCCTTCGGTTTCAGGCTCGGCCTGCTTCTGTTCGCTCATCTCACCTCCTGCTCCGGAAGGTTCTCTGCGATCTCGTTCTCATCCACGTCCTCGCCGCGCTCACGCTTCTCTCTCTTGATCTTCTGGATGCGTTCTCTCTTGACGTTCCCGGCGCTGATCAGCACGCTCTTGAGCGCTCGCAGACCGAAGTCATAGTGAGACTGAGACGACAGCTGCTCGTCACACAACCTGCAACCACAGACCAAAGCAGGGTTACGTTACCACTGCACACATGCACAATAACAGCTGAAGCAGACGCAGACGCACTTAAAGAACGGGACGATCTTCTTGGCGAGGATCTCAGCGGTGCGGAAGCCCTGCGAGTACAGCATGACCTGAGCGATCAGCTGCCGGTCCGGTTTGGTCATGGCCAGACTCCTGAAGAGCTTCTTGAGGTTATCGGGCAGGTTGGAGCGTCCGGCGTAACCGGGGTTCATGGTGATGAAGATGGCCATCTCAGCACTCACCTTCACCTGTTTGTTCAGCAGCTCTGTGGTGACGGGCACACCTGAACACAGAAGAGCAAAGCCATGCTGATCATCATCTGTTTCAGTTCAGAGTCGATGATGATGTTCTGATCTATATCATGAAGGGCTGCAATGATAAATCGATGCGGAATCGATTCTGAGATCTTCCGAATGCATCACGACTCTCTCTGGAATGGATTCTGAGCTTATATTTTAACAGCAGATGGCGCTCTACTCTAGTTTTCCTATCCGCACACTCAAACACTCATGAAGAAGAGCTGAAGAGCGCTTGTGCGTTCGGCTGAGTCTGTAATTTCACCTCGGCTCAGAATGCTTTTATGACGCCAGATTAATGTAAACACAGTTCACTGTGAACACCCTTGTGATTCACTTCAACCTTTCAGAAATTTATGAATGATTATTTTAGGTTCAAGTGTGTGTAAGGATTTGGCTGTTTCCGAAGTATGCAGCGCCATCTGCTGTTCAAAACTAAGCTCAGAATCCACTCGAGAAAGAATCGCGACGCATTCGGAAAATCTCATTGAATCATTTCTCGATTCGCGATGCATCGACTTATTTTCCCAGCCCTAATATCATGCACGTACTGCGGTCTCGGTTGGGGTTGCTGTGTTCTCTCAGCGCCACCTGGATGTACTGGACCTGCTGAGACACGGCAGACAGCATGCGCTCCTCCAGACGGTTGAACTCGTCGAAGCAGCCCCAGGCGCCCACCTGACACAGACCCACAAAGATGCGGCCCATCGCCTGCAACACAAGACACCGTCAAACCCCTGTGATTAAACACCTGTTATTGACCCCCGACACCAATCCCATGACACCAGTCGCACCTGGAAGTCAAAGGTCTCGTCACAGTTGAAGACCAGGACGAAGCGGCCCAGCTGGTGACCCAGAGCTTTGACAGACTCGGTCTTCCCCGTTCCAGCAGGACCTACAGAACAAGAACGTCATCATCACTGCATGCATTCAGCTCACGTGTGTGCATCTATGAGCTCGATGAGGATTTTAAAAGCTCAAATTTAAGACTCAAGACCTGCGCAAATAAACTTAATACCATATGAGCGGGGTAGGGCAATGTCTATAACAACATCTGTGACTCCGGAGCACAAAAGCAGTCTTAAGCAGCACAGGTATATTTGTAGCAATAGCCAACAATACAATGTATGGGTCACAATTATACATTTTTCTTTTATGCCAAAAATCATTAGGATATTAAGTAAAGATCATGTTCCATGAAGATATTTTGTAAGTTTCCTACCGTAAATATATCAAAACTTAATTTTTGATTAGTAATATGCATTGCTAAGAACTTCATTTGAACAACTTTAAAGATGATTTTCTCAATATTTAGATTTTTTTGCACCCTCAGATTCCAGATTTTCAAATAGTTGTATCTCAGCCAAATATTGTCCTATCCTAACAAACAATACATCAATGGAAAGATGATGTATAAATCCCTATTTAACATATTGACCCTTATGACTGGTTTTGTGCTCCAGGGTCTCATATTAAAACTGTAAAATGACTGTAAAAAGCATGATTTACAGTTAAGACATGTTTTCCCCAAAACAAAAAGTTTTATAAAATGATACACTTCACATTTCAGCCTTTAAACTATTTGTAAGAAAATGGATGAGTCAAAAGTATTATAATATTAATTTAAACAATTATCAATCAATCATTATATTAATTAAATAACAAATGCATTTCACTGTTTAGATTTGTATAATGCACTTCTTATTGATCCACCAGTTCACATTTACAGCTCTGCGTGTTTGCAGGGTTGATTTTCACATTGGTCTGAACAAAAACAACAGGCTTACTGAAAATGCACATTCATTCTCTGCCAGCAGGAGTCGCTTTCAGAACAGCAGAAATATTTACATTTAGTAATTTAGCAGATGCTTTTATCCAAAGCACTTACAAATGAGGACAACGGAAGCAATCCGAATCAACAAAAGAGCAATGATATGCAAGTGCTATAACAAGTTTCAGTCAGCCTAACGCAGTACACTTAGCAAGGTTTTTATTAATTATATAATTTAAAAAAACCCGATAGAATAGAAAAAGAATAGAGCAAGTTAGTGTTAGAGGCCTTTTTTTGCTTTTTGTTAATTGTATAATAAATAAAAAGAAAACAAATAGAACAAAAAGAATAGAGAAGCTAGTGTTAGTTTTTTTTTTTTAAAGAAAACAAGCAGTTAGTAAATGAATAGAGTGCAAGTCTAAAAGAGGCAAGTGTGTTTTTTTTTTTAAAGAATAGAATTAGAATAGAGAGTGCTATAGTTAGAGGGTCAAATAAAGATGGAATTATCAATTATGGAATATAAAATATAACCGTTTCCCCGGTAACGCCAGTACACAAAGCAGCACAGCAGCTGACTTCATAGCCTTTTGAAGTTTAATCGTCACATTAAGCCATTTTGCAATTTTGGTCTTTCCGTCCACAAATTTAATACCTCTTGAAATCATAATTAAGACTTTCTTACACAATGTAAGACTTTTTATGGCCTTAAATTTGATACAACTAGATTGAAGACTTTAAGGGCCCGGTGGAACCCTGTCCAGCAGGAAAGGTGAGACTGACCGAAGGGCGATCCTCCCAGACGGGCCTCCAGCGCCTGCGTCATGGTCAGGTAGCAGCGGTCGGTCAGTGGCGTCTGCACCAGCTTCTCCTGCACACCCAGGTACTCGAAGCCGTAGTTGAACTTAGCGTTGGCCATCTGAATGGAGAGCTGCTGGAGGACGTCGGTCTGCTTGGGGTCGAAGTAGAAGCGCATCTGGCTGAGCCACTCGAAGGATTTGGGGTTGTCGATCTTGTTCTTGATCAGAGTTCTGGTCACGTCTCTCTGGTGCACCAACTCTGTGATCTACAAATGAAAAACACACGAGTCACGAACACGTCTGCAGCTCCAGATGATCAGACAGGACTCATGGTTCAACTCGCCAAATATCTGCGTCTATGTATGTGTGTGTGCATCAGAAGGACATCTATGATGGTCTTTAAAGGGTCTGTGCAATATAACCAAGTAAAGACCAATTTAAGGAATGAATTGAAGGGAACACTGTACATCAATATTTTCTCTAAATGAAAATGTCTAGGTGAACTCAGAGAACCTAATTAATTTAAAGGCAAAACAAGTTTATTTTTCTGACCAGATTGGCAGATATTTGTTTGTTTTAAGCAGAAACTTGATTGTTAAATTTTTCAGAAAACAAGACTTCATGTTCAATTTACGTCTCCAGTAAATGCATCTTGATTTAAGGATGTTCAGATATTTGTACTGGAAAACAAGACACAAATACAGAGGAAGATATTATTATTTTGCAGTGAATGCAACATTTAATGCCATGACTTTTGATTTTAAGACTTTCTGCTCTGATTGAAGACATTTTTAAGACCCACAGAAAGCCTGGCGTTGCTGTTTTTGCTTGTTGCGTTGTGTTAGAGCGCTCACATACGAGTCAATAATCTGTCCTGAAAACAAATGTAATGGACAGAAACTATAAGGCATGACTGTTTTTTGCACCATGATTAATCTCCAGTTTCACACGGTTTCTCAGCACACGCACACATCCACACGAGTGTCTGACTCCTCACCAGGTGCTCCAGCTTCTTCCTGCGCAGCGGCGGCTGCTCCATCAGAACCGTGTCGGCCAGCAGGTTGAGCGTCGCCTTCACGTTGGCCAGCACGGCCTGCAGCGGACCCATGTCTTCCCCGCCGCCAATGGTGGTCAGAGCGCTCTCCACGTTCTCAGACCAGTCGATCTGAGTGGACAGAACCACCAGCTGGGCCTGGACGCAGCGGAGACGGAGGTTAAGCACTCATGAAGACGTGTACAGATGCTGGGTCAGTCTCAGAGGATGGGTCACCTGGTATCGGTCGATCCAGTTGATGTAGGTGCTCAGGTCGATGCCCGTGCTCTTGTTGAATGCGCCCACCTCCGTGACGGACTCAGCCAGCAGCTTAGCCAGCGTCACCCGCATCTCACGCTCCACCAGCGTCAGCCACTCGTTGATCTTCGGATGCTCCGTGATGGACACCGGCGTCTTATAGAGCACCTGAAAACAACAGCACATTCCAGAGGTTTCCCACATGAAGACATCACTCATATTACTGATTTAACTGCACTGACGCAATCAGACGAGATCAAAACCTGATCTGAATCGATCTGAATAACGACACTAATGTCTTCTGCAGAGCTGCTTTACAGCTGAAACTGAGTTTGCATCATTGACTGAAACAAGCATATAACGGAGGTCCCAGACTCTCTCGGGTCGAGCCGTACCTCCTCTCCCTCTCGGGACGAGATGCCCAGCACCTCCGTGTTGTCCTCGTTCAGCAGGATGCTCGAAACTCCAGCGAACATTTTCTTGAAGTGTTTCTGCAGTTTGGCCACATTCTTACTGTTGCCGATGATCTCCAGCAGATCTTCATCACCAACAAAGTAGAACCTGCGGGAAACAGAAACAACTCTGTAAGTCTTCAGTATTTAGACAACCGTCACAGTGCAGATACTGAAGCGCGGCCTGCAGTTATTTTACCAACTTAACACAATCAACACATCATTTTTATTACAACAAAGCAAAAACTGCAAATTTTTCAAAAACTATTAATATGCACAATTTTGAAAGCAGTTTCTTTGTCACTAAATTAATGGTTAACACATCATATAAAAGTCTAAGAGAGATCTAAACACGACTAAAACTAGCCAGCCTTACATTCCCATTAGCTCTCATGTTTAATGGACGCTGGATGGCTTATATCGTAAAGCCCAAATGTCTGACCTGGGGAAAGACGAGCGCTCTCTCTCCAGATATTCTCCCAGTGCTTTCTGGATCTTTCCCAGCAGGTCAGCGAGTCTCTCCAGCGACCTCTGAACCCCCTGAATGTTCAGGACGTCCATGACCAGAGGAGGCTTGGTCACCTTCTTCATCAGGGGTTTCAGCTCAAAATACCCCACAGATCATTTATTATATCATTTTGAAAATGCCTATTTTAGTGGAAGCAGAAACACGCTGTTTTTGTGCATGTCTCTTTAAATGCAAATGAGCTGCTGCTCCCCATGAGCTGTGCCTTTACAGCTTGTATCTCAAATATTCTGCCAAAAAACATCTGTTTGGTTTTGATTATCATGTCAATCACGCTAAAATCATGCGTTTTAAACAATATTAGTTTAAACTTCTGATATACGGGTTTTCTGAGCGCACACATCCGAAGCATCCATCACACGGCATGCAAGTACTAAACTAAGCTCCCTTTCATGTCTTATTGCGCTTAAACGGTCAAATACACACAAGTTACAAAACTAGTGGGTTATGTCTGTGAAGGTAAACAGCTGGGATGTTTATATTAGATCTGTGACAGGTGTGTGATGGAGGCGGACCTGCTTGAGGAACTCCTCGAGAGCCATCTCTCCCTGCGCCACCAGCAGCACGTCCTTCACCACCATCTCGTTCTTCTGCAGGTCCACGTCCCAGATCTGACCCAGACTCAGCTCGGACAGAACCCAGTTCACATGCAGACGCTTCATCAGCTGCTTCCAGTGCCGGTCCTTCAGCGCCTCCGACTTCAGCTCGATCACCAGCATGTTCACCTGAAGAGGACACAGGGAACGGTTTAGGTGTTTCAGCGGCTCTATCCCAGCATCCTCCGCTGATAACGCAGGACCGGCTCACCTTCATGTACCCCTTGAGCAGTCTCTGCACGTACTCGTAGGAGGCGTACTGCCGCAGACGGGCGGGGAAGTTCTTCAGCTGGTTGAGGAGAGCGTCCAGACTCTGGCGCAGCTGTACAGAAGAAGAACACAGACTCAGTGAAAGCCAGGCTCGGGTACGAGTCACACGAGAAGGCAGGTGTGTCGCTCACCTTACGCGGCTGCACAGAGACCCACGGCTGCTCCTTCATCTGATCGATCTGCTCCCAGACCTTCGACAGCTCCGACCAAACACCCTTCAGATCCTGCAGCTCCTCCAGAGCCACCTGACGAACAACACGGACACGACACGCGTTAACAAGAGTAGAATCTTCAACATACAGTTTGATCTCTAAATGATGTGTGAGAAAACTGAAAGCAAAAATACTCTAGAGCTAAATGAATCCAGTGTGTTTTCATGCACTGCTCAGTTTTGTGATTTTGGTCTGTTTTGCTTTCATATTTTGTCTTCATTCAGACAAGTGAAGAGAAAAGAGTTTAATTAATTGCATCATATATTTGCGCCTGTAGATTTCAATCTCAATCCATATCTTTACAGAGTTTTTCTCTTACATTCACCAGTTTTTTAACAGTTTTATTCATCTCTATATTCTGAAGGTTTATTCAGATGTCATTCACACTGATTTATACAACATTGTATTCCTAAAAACATGGTAAAAATGAAATTTGTTTTGTGTCTGTTGACAGTATTTTCAGATTTTTGTAGCGATAAAAAGAAAAATTCAAAACCCCCTTTGGAAAAACTCTAATATTTAACTCTAATATTTCAACAAAATTAAACAATTTTTAACCTGGCTTTATCCAATGTTCAGATTTCTGCATATTAGTGCATATTTAATTAGATTAATGCATCATTTGCATATTTAAACAACATTTCAGAAAACAACCAACTTAAGGTGCTCATCCAGAACGCTGCTGCCAGGATTCTGACTAGAACCAGAAAATCTGAGCATATCACACCAGTCCTCAGCTCCTTACACTGGCTTCCAGTTACATTTAGGATTGATTTTAAAGTACTTTTACTCGTTTATAAATCACTCAATGGCCTAGGACCTAAATACACTGCAGATATGCTCACTGAATATAAACCTAACAGACCACTCAGATCATTAGGATCGAGTCAGTTAGAAATACCAAGGGTTCACACAAAACAAGGGGAGTCCGCTTTTAGTTATTATGCCGCCCGCAGCTGGAATCAGCTTCCAGAAGAGATCCGATGTGCTAAAACATTAGCCTCATTTAAATGCAGACTCAAAACTCATCTGTTTAGCTGTGCATTTACTGAATGAGCACTGTGCTACGTCCGAACTGATTGCACTATTTTATGTATAATAATTTTTATTCTTAACCGTTTTATTAAAGCAATAAGCCCCAAGAAGCCGTGGTTTACAGTGAATTTATAACAGCTAAGGGGGTTTTAGGCACTCCGCGAACCCCCTTAGCTGTTATAAATTCACTGTAAACCACGGCTTC